TAAAAATGTAGGAATAATGCATGCATTTTCCTTTAGCCAACACCTACCAGTCGATGGATACTCTCCATCATACGTGTGTGCTCACTCGCATGCACTTACACGTGCACACGCTCTCTCTCTTCTCTCTCATATTTCTCCTTATTCATGAGGAGCTGGCTGCTGAGCACATCTAGAGCTTGGATCCCAACCATGGTTGCTCAAGTCTCTCAGGAAAATGGTGTGGTAACTGCACAGAACCTGTCCGCACGCCCACATACTTTACATAAGCTCTAGGTTAGTGACACTACTGACTGCAATGGCCACATTGGGTAAAAAGCCACTAGACTATTCTTGAGGGAATAACAGTAAGAAAAAAGTGTGTCCATGTCCAGTAGAGATGCAGTTTTTTTTCCCTTAAATACATTATTTCTGACTTGTGGTTGGCTGGGTTTAGAGACACAGACCCTACATTCCAGAGGGCTGGCTGTGGGCCACAAAGCTAGGACTCCTCTAGACCCATAGGCATTCAGTGATCCATGCCTCAGGAGATCGCATCAGGCTGTAAGATCTGCCAATAGTTTTTAATGATTTGCAAATGAAATAAAAACTCCCATTTTTATTTCCTGTCTTCTAGCATTTTACTCTCTAGAAATTCAAGAGTATGCCTGGAACTTTGAATCAGTCAAAGTACAAGATGCAGAGATAACCTAATGATGCAGGGTCTCACAGAGTTGAGTGAAAGTATCCACAAGACAGATTCTGAAAGGTTGAAATCCTTGAACAAAACTGAAATTGTTTTGGGTAAACAAACACGGACAGGAGCAGAGTTGTGGCTCAGCTGGCTTCGGCTCTGTCCTCCATGCAGAACTGCACTCTTGCCCCACACGCTGCTGTGCTGCCAGGCATCTGTTACTCCCTGCCCAGATGGTGCCCCTGAGTGCAGCTCATCCTGCACTGGCCATCTCTCAGCATGCACCCAAGTGGCAACTGTGCTCCACTTGTAGTGATACGAGTCCTAAGTGTACTGTACCAAGGGAGCAAGGAACAAAGGACCGAGCCTAAGCCTAAGGAAACTGGCTCCTGGCAACTGGCAAGCTGGAGACAAGGTAGTAACGGATTCCTGCAGGCAGTGTCCTGTCCGCTTGTCCCTTTATCTGGGAAGTTACCAACTAGTGAGTGACACGTAAACTAGTTGGTGAATACCGGAAGGCAATATAGATGGCAGTTTGTTTACACTGAATTAGTTATGCACATTCCCTAGCCTGTTTGTAGCCCTCAATAAATGTTGGAAGTTTCCCTGGCTGGGGCTCACTTAAGAGAGACTGAGCTCAGTGCAACCCCTGGGGCCCATTTCATCCAGCCTTGCTGTCATTCTTGTGGCTCTGATCATTCTAGAACACCACTTTTGGATGGCACCAGATATACTCAAGAATTACATAAATGTTTTTCCTTCCCACTATAATTTCTTTTACTATAATTAACATAAAGCTTTTGAATTAAATTCAGTTAAATACTTTAGCTAAATAAAAGCTAAATTTTATTGAGCTTTAAGCTGAAATTTTAAATTTCAATTCACTCATCAAATTTTTAAAAAAATAGCTTTTTACATAGGAAAAAGTACTTTAGCATATTAAAGAAAAAAACTTCTAAATTTTTAAAGATGTGAAATTCCATGTGTACTTGAGAAGAGACCAAAAGTATTCTGGATTTAGATAAAATTTACAAAATACAAACAGAGCTCTTGATAATCATGGTATAAGAGTTACAATCTTAACAATAGTTTTGTGACTCAGAACTAGCCAGAAGAATCTTTACAGACATCTACACAAAGAGGTATCTAAATAGCCAACTGTCAGGCTTTAACGGGTGATTTTTCTTGAATCATGAAATTAATCAGTTGGATTGCTTTTAATGGCCACATACAGTATCATAAGCTAAATTCATTGTAACAATAGCAATAAGTAATCAGTTACCTATTAATTGGCGAATTCAGTTTTTGGAGATGAAAACTCAAGGTAACATTGCAGCTGTCAATGAAACTTACTTTGGGAGATTCGGCATCCAGTTACTCTGGTTGTTCACTTTACATGAGGTCTCAAGTCAACTTTAAACCAACTCAGAATCACTAAATGACTGTGAGCTGAGGATCAGCTGTAACCATGAAGTCAAAACTACACAAAGAACAGAACGGGATGGTTTATAAAAATGAAAAGAATACAGAAAATTTCTTAGTAATTTTGGAATCCGAGAAAGAGTAAATCTATTTCTCGTATACAATGTCAAGTGTCACTTGTTTATGAAAGGAAGTTTATCTTAAAAGGAAAACAAAAGCATACATTTAATGTCACACAGCCAACAGAGTCCTAACTTTGTCTAAAAATTTATCCCAGGTTAAATACTGTGATGAAGGTCAATTATTCTTTAAACACTTTTAAACCTGAATACTAAGACATGTAAATGGGTTATGCTAGTGCAATGCCACAGTTGAAAAAAACATGAAGATGACAGAGAAGGGTTCTGGACACCTTATGCACATTAGCCTGGAGGACCTGAAAACCCTAAGCAGAACACACAGCCAGGAGCTGGCCTGGCCGCTCACACAGGCTCTGTCCTCCTGTTCACTCACAGGACCTGGGAAGCCCCTCCAAAGCACTGATGACACCCACAAGCTCAGGGCCTCAGGGAACTAATTTTTTCTCCTAAGGACACCTTTAAAGAGATGACCCAATGAGAAAGAAGACCTTTCCTCCCCAGGAACCCTCCTCCCCATGCCCAGACTGCCTGTCAGAATCAGCAGCTCGGCCTAGGGTGGCTGCTCCACATCCACGGCATTCCGTGAATAGACGGAACCACTGCTGGGGGAGCAACATATTTAGTCACCAACTCTGGTCTGCCATGTCATGAGTGTCTCCATCCCCAGAGAAACGTCACAAGTAATTTATAATCTTATCTTGAATGCATATCCAACAAGGTAAGAGTCATCTTGGTGCCAACAGCAAGTGTCAAACGTAGGCATTGAAAAATAGTGATTTTAGCAAAACCCATCTATACTGGAGAATTCATTTTTTGCATGATGACTGTTAATGTGTTAGATATACTTGATAGTTCTATTTTAATTGAAATGTCATTGCTCAAAACTTACAGCACATACAGCTGTCATGTAAAAATTCAGACAAGAAAGTGAATGATGAACAACAATAGAAACAAGGACACTATATGATCTACTGTCCTACTGAAATACATTTTGTAAAAATCACTGCAAAAGCAGCAAAAGCACAAAGCAAACACTTGGAAGATAAACTTTGGCATAATCCACAAGACTTCATTCACCAACACAGCTACACAAACATCTGCAACTGACCCTGGGTAACACTGGGAGCTGTCCAGCAAGGAAGCCGCAAATGACAACACCTGCCAGTGCACAGGGGCACAAACAGGAGGAATGATGACAGTGGTAGCTGCAGGAAGAGGGTCAGAAGCACAGGGGAGCACAGGGGTGGCCTGGCACTGTAGGAAGGGGTGGGCAGAGAAGGGAGACCATGAAGAGCTGGAAGGTGCATTTCAGGATAGGCAAACCAATGCTAGCTGGAGGCCTGGCACAGGCCTGCACAACACAACTCCACGGAGTGGACTCTGTAAGGGGAGCACACTACAAGGGTTTGCAACAAGGCTCACTCTGGATCTAATATAGGTTCTGAAAAGATACTGCGTAATACAGGAAAATGGATGAACCTTGTGGCCCACTGCAATATTAAGTGAAGAAGATCAGACACAGAGTTTAAAGAGCACGCAGATTCTCTTTTGAAGAGCAAAATCAAAGGTAGATAACAGGAACCTACAGGATAGACCTTCTGCAAATGGGAAGGGAAGCTGGGGTCGAGGCATAAATAGAATGAAGGCCTGCAGTGCCTGGACCCTGAGCCCTCACAGTGAATGCAGACACTATGCACTGCACACATGCAGAAAATTAAAGCAGCAGTAAAACCTAGTTTGGGCACAGTGAGGTAAGAATATGGAAAAGTAATGGAGTTAAGGGAAAGATCAATGACATCCTGCTGGAGGAATACGGTCTCAGAAGACTACCAATGACATGATAGCAGAAAACTGAGTAACCGTAGCCAGAAAATATTAATTTAATAATTCAGGTTTTTGTCATCACTGTATGTGAACACTACTCAATAAAAACAAAAGGTGTCTAAACAATAAACAACTTTATTACCATCTAACAGAAGCATTACATGATAAAAGCCAAATACTGCAGTTAAAAGATTAAAGAATAAGGCAAACCCATTAATAATTTACTGGTACATCTACATATAAGCATCCACATATAACCTACGGCTAATATAAACACAGACACTGCTAAATAAACACCACTTCTATTTAACAGGTAGCTTGGATTCATGTAGTCCATTCCACAGTATTTCATAAAAGGTGAAAATTATTTGATTAATTAAAATGCTTACTTGGTTACAAAGCAATAATTACTTTAAAAATACATACTATAAAGTGATTTAAGCGGCTTTGAACTGACATTACAAGATAATACTGGAACTGTGCTGGTCATCCTTCTGTGGCTCATTTTCTTTTCTGAATTACTGCAATAATCTTACTCCTACACATTTTCTATCTTCTGCATCAATAATTAGGTCGGACAGAAAAGTGACAAGATTTCTTAGATACATTTTCTGATGACCGTTACAAGATCATTTCATGAAATTGTCACTCATAGTCATTCTCTTATATTTATGCAAAAAAGGAATCAAGTTTGCATCACTAAAATGAGCAATAGTGATAAAGGTACAGTTAATGATTCTCTGAATTAATAACTATGCCACTGCTTATCAATGATAAAAATACCCAAAAAATGTGTTTAAATGAATAAGAAGCAAAAGGAAATCTAACTTTCCACCCTTGGTAAGAATAAGGAAAACTGTTGGAGCTGGTAAAAGCATACTCACACCTATCGCTGTAGATACACTTCAAAGTCTTAGAGAACCCCCTTGACTCTGTCCACCTACCTGTGGGAGGCAGGCAGTCTTTCCAGTCAAAGTAGCCTGCATAAATCCCAGGTTCCAAGGAGCCGACAATGGGATCTGCCTTCAGCTCAATGTAGTTCTCAAAGAGTCTTTGGTCAAGTTCTTTCAGTGAGGCCATGCTAACCTAGAAACACAGAGGAAAGACTGAGCTGCCAGGTGAGAGTGCAAGAAAAAGCAATGAGACAGTTCTTAAAGCTAAGAACTACCACCACCATGACATACCCGAAAGCAAGGACACATGACGGCAGTCCTAAGAGGGAAGCTCACAGCCACGAACACCTACTTGTATGTACCACAAGAACAGAGGAAGCCCAAATAAATAACTACGGTATGCTTCAAGGTCCTAAAAAAACAAGAAAAATCCAAACCCAAAGCCAGTACAAGGAAGGAAATTATAAAGATCAGAGAATTGAGGCTAAAAAAACAAAAAACAAAAACAAGGAATCAGTGAATCAAAGAGCTGGTTGTTCAAAGAAAGATACGTAACTAAACAAAACAGTCAAAGCCTCAGATAATCTCAATAAAAAAGGAAAGATTCAAATCAATGCAATTAGGAATGAAAAAGGAGTAATCACAACAGACAATGTTGAAATTCAGGAGATTATTGATAACTACTTTGGAAACCTCTACTCTAATGAATTGGAAAGTTCAGAGAAGGTCCTAGATACATATGAATTATTAAAACTGAATAATTATATAAAAACCCTGAATAAGGGCCAAAATGAAGGACCATTTTGTATTTGTACATACAAAATAGTTAGGATGGCTATGCAACTGCTTTCTCTTGGTTCAGTGAGAGGAAGGACTCGTGCTAATGGTGTGGACAGGATGTCCTGTCTGCATCTTGTACTATGAATAACCACTACGAAGACAGCAATATGCAATGTAGTAACTATTGAAACTGTCCTAGTAATCGGTTTTGAAACTGTCTCATTGCTATTTGTTTCTCAATTAAAAAAAAAAAAAGATTAAGCCATTCCTTCTAGAATTTCTTTCCAGGCAGGATGAGTATTGCAAAATGTAAAATTGTTAAGGTTTTCTATGCTGAAATATTTAGGAGTAAACGACCATAATATACGTTCTTTACCCTCAAAAAGTCTAGGTAAGAAGTATTTTCTGTATGACAGAAATAAGAATGGAAAAAAAAATAAATGGGTATACTGCTAACAGGTAAATCTGAATAAATATTTTTAAAAAATAGCTCAGTGGACTAAAAACACCTGCTCAGGCAGAGACAGTGGTCTGGGTTCAATCCCAGGTGTGCACGGCCAGCCCCGCCCCGAGCGCATGCTGAGACACTGAGACTGGGTGTGGTGGGGCATGCCTGCAATCCCAGTGCTTGGGAGGCTGAAAACAGGACAATCACTAAGAGATGATCTACATAGTGAGACCCTCTAGACCCTATACTAAATACATTAAAAACAAATAAACCAAAACCCACCCTCAATAATCCAATGAAATAGAAACTGCAATTTTTTAAAAAAAAAAAAACAAACCTACAAATTAAGAAAAGCAAAGATCTGGATGAAATTACTGCTCAATTTTACAAAATCTTCAGGGACTACACCAATATTCCTTTTTAAAGAAATTGAAAGGAAGGAGGACTCCCAAAGTTATTCTCAGAAAATACCATTACCCTGATTTTAAAAGCAGAAAAGGATACAAACCAAAAAAAGCAGTAGAGTAATCTCTTTACTGAATACAGATACAAAATTCTCCACAAGATCCTGGCAGAGAAGCTAATTAGCCTTCAAAATGTTTATACATGGTGCCAAAGTAGTCTTCATTCCAGGGATGCAAAGATGGTTCAATACACGCAAATCAATAAATGTAATACACTGTATAAATGGAAGACAGGACAAAAATCATATGATAATCTCAAAAGATGTAGAAAAAGCCTTTGACAAAATCCAACATCCACTTAAAATAAAAAACATGAAGAAAATAGGCACAAAAGGATCTTATCTCAATATGATAAAAGCCATTCATGATAAACCTACTGCCAGAATCATATGAAAAGAGGGAAAATCTGAAAGCTTTCCCTCTAAAATCAGGAAGAAGACAAAGATGCCCACTACCACCGTTTCTGCTTAACGTAGTACTCAAAAAATTATCAAGAACAATTAAGAACTAAGAATTATATATATGAAAGAAAAAAGTCAAATTGTCAGATTATTTGCAAATGACACAATCCTCTACATAGAAGATCAAAAAAATTTACCCAAAGATTCCTAATAACCAAATTCAGTAATATAGTACAGTACAAAATTAATGTACAAAAAGCAATCGCATTCTTGCACACTAACAATGAACTCACTAAAAAAGATATTAGGAAAAATACCATTTATAATAGCACCAAGGAAAATTAAGTGCTGAATAATTAATTTAACTAAGAAAATGAAAGTGAAAAGTATGGTATCCTGAAAAAGGGGATTGAAGACATCAGAAATTGGAAAGATATCCCCTATTCATGGACAGGCAGACTAATGTAGTTAAAATGCCCATTCTTTCAACACTTTATACAGACTTAATGCACTCTCAATCAAAATACCAACTGCATTGTTCACATAACTGGAGAAAACAATTCTGAAGTTCAGATGAGCCCAGAAGAGATACAGAATAGCAAAAGCAACTCTGGACAACAAAAGCAAAGTGGAAGGCATTATAGTGCCAGATCTGAAGTTATTTCACAAAGCTAAAGTGATAATAAGAGCGCATACTGGGACAAAAACAGATAGGAGGATCAGTGGGCCAAAACAGAGGACACAGAAAAAACACAAGCAAATATAATTACTTGATATTTGACAAAGGGGCCCAAAATATACACAGATAGCCTCTGAAATAAATGGTGCTAGGATACCTGGATGTCAACATGCAGAAGATTGAATCTAATATTTCCCACTATGTACCAAACTAAAATAAAAATGGATCAAAGATCTAAATGTTAAAAGAGAAACACTGCACCTGCTGAAAGAAAAAATAGGTAAAACTGAAGCATAAAAAAGGACTTTCTGTATAGAACCCTGTTTTGCACAGAGAATAGGACCAAGAACCAACAAATGGGATTGTATCAGATTGAAACAGAGTGAAGAAACAATCTATAGAATGAGAAAGTATTTTGCCAACTATTTCTCAGAGAAAGGTCTAATACTGAAAACATATAAGAACTCAAAAAATAATACTTCCCAAAAATAAAAGAACCAACCAAAAACATGGGAACTGAAGCAAACAGATACCCGTCAGAAGTACAGTCAATAAATAAAGAAGAAATGATCAATGTTGCCCCTAGAGAAAGCAATTTAAAACAACCCTGAGGTTCTGCCTTACTCTAGAAAGAATGGCAATTAGAATCAGAAAATTAAGTTAAAACAAATGCTGGCAAAGACGCTCGCTCTGGCAGCACATATACTAAAATTGGAATGATACAGAGAAGATTAGCATGATCCAGCTATTCCCCTTCTAGATATCGTCCTCAAAGAGTTAGAGACATATATATCCATGTTTACAGCAAAGAATTCATAATAGCGATCTTAGAAACAGTCTATGTGTACCTCAGCACCTGACTGGATAAACAAAATGCTACTTACACAACGGGATGCTACTCTGCCATGAAGAAAGAGAAATGGAGTTGTTTGCAGGAAAATGGACACACTAAGTCCATGTTATGTGAAATATATCACACAAGCTTAGATATCATGTGGTCTCTCATCAAAAAAAAAAAAAAAAAAAAAGACCTGAAGAGTAAATAAATTAAATAGTAAAATGAAAGATACATTCTGGGAAACAGGGAAGGTACTTTCAAATGGAAAGGGGACCGAAAGATGTCAAGAGAAAGGGAGTGAGAGGGGACATTAAAAACTATTAGGATGTGTCACGAGCACATATCAAGCACCGAACATGAGTGTATTCACGAAGCACCACAAACACATACTCATCAAAGATTCCAAAGTATCAATTATAATTTTACTAGTCAAGTAATTTATAATATATTACTATTTATATTAACATCAAAAGACTAAAAGTAATTTTTTTTTTTTTTTTTTTTTTTGCAGAACAGGGGATTGAACTCAGAACCTTGCACTTGCCAGGGAAGCGCTTATTATACTGAGCCAGCTCCAGCCCTAAAAGTAAATTAAAAAAAAAAAATACAAAATTTCTGTTGAAAACAACAAAATGCTGCTAAAATAGTTTAAGATGTCCTAAATAACTACATACATAGGAACAATTGGTATTATTAATCTTCCCCAAATTCAGTCAATTTTTAAAAGGTCTTTATTTGGTAAAATTGCACAGGCTAAGCCTAAAATTTATACACAAATGGAAAGGACCTAATATACCCAAGACAGGTTGAAGAGAACCAAGTAGGAAGACTCAAATGACATGATCTCAGGAATCACTGTAGCGCTATAGTAAATAACGCAACGCCACATTGACAAAGGTGGACCAGAGGGGGAGTCCAACACAAAGCCACTCACACTTGATCTGAAAAAGACTCCTCAATACCTCATTATAGGATGAGGTGGTACTTGCATGAAAAACAGTATGAACCTCAGCACTTCGCTTAATACAGGAAACCTTAAAGAAAGCTAGATTATAGCTCTAAACACAAAAGTCAACATTAGGAGGCCTCTGGAAAAATATAAATAGGATGCTGAAGCAGAGAAAGATTTTGACAAAATATGATGAAAAAACACATACAGTATATATAAAACTGACAATCTCAAAAACATTAAAAGAATTTACCCAAAGATATCATTATATTTTATTTTTTAATATCGTTTACTTATTTATATGTATTTACTACAGGGTCTACAAGGTCTCATTATATAGAGCGGACTCATAGTGATCCTCCTGTTTTCAGCCTCCCAAGCACTGGGATCAGTGGGCATGTGGGGGATGGAACTCTGGCCATGTGTTCTGCCTAAGCAAGTGCGTTAGTCTACTGAGCTATCTGGCCAGCCCCCAAAGATATCATTATGAACAACATAGCAAGCAATAGCTAGGAGGAAAAAATGAAACGTGACAAATCTGAAAATCACTGCTAGAAAGACGAACAACCAAATTTGAAAATGAGCTGAAGAGATGAACAGTGCCTTGGACACAGACAATACATGAATGTCTACATGTCCAGTGCCATTAGTTACTAGGGAAGGCCAATTAAAGCAACAAGGCTGACAAATACAAAAAGAATGGCAGTATTTGGTGCTGGTGAGACACAGACAAAGTGGGGCCCTCATGTTGCAACTTAGATGCCCTTTCTACAAAGGAAAAGGGATTCCTGGTCAACTATGCCCTCACCGAAGGAGGCCCCAGAGCACATCCAGCAGCCAAAGGCGATGTGGCAGAAGCCCTCTATGGGTCCATCTCCCCAACAGCTAAAACACAGGAAGGGAGAGAGCTCAGCCACAGGCTAGCAAGTACCTGTGAGGCCACTGGAGGGATCTGTCTCTTGGAAAAGGAATATGCAATAAAAACAGGGCCAGTGGCAACTTTCTTCCTGTATGTAAGATACGTTCTACTTGGTTGGCATTGCAAAATTAATGGATTCACATGTAACAAATGAATCACCACAGATGCTGTAATATCAATCTCTTTTAGTATCTACTCATTTCAGCCACAATCAAATAATTTCAAAATATTCAAAATGGTCAAATAGAAAAAAATCTAAATTCTGGATGAGGAAAACAGCCTGCCATATATTCTAAGTTGTAACCCAGATACTATATATTACTTTTCTCAAAATCATCAGGACAGATCAGGAAAGATATTTAAAAAAAAAAACAACTTCATGTCAATTTCATTGTTTCTTAATTATATAAACTGACACAACACACAGTTCTTATTACTTTACAAAAACCTAGAGAAAAATCAAACTTATTGCTTCTTGTATGTAATTTTTAATCATTTTATATATTTTGCTGAGTTAACACACTTATAATATTCAAATGACCGAACTTAACAAAAAAGGGGATACAGATGAATATCCATTTTGTATCTGTGTATTCAAAGTGGTTTGGATAGATATATAGTTACATTCTCTTAATGAATAGAGGGATTTGTTCTAATGGTGTTTGTAAATAGGATATCATGTCTGCGTCTTGTACAGCAAATAACCACTAGGAAGAGAGTATGCAATGTGTTAATTATCGAAACTGTCCTACCAATTTGATTTGAAACTATCTCATTGCTATTTGTCTCTCAATAAAATTATGGGAAAAAACCACCTTTGTTATGAGCAAGTCAAAAAAATCATTTTATGTATTTTAAATGCTAAATAAAATTTCTAAGAAATATATTCACATCATCACCTCATTATATAAAAGCCAACTGCTCACTCTCTACAAACAGTATCTTTTATTGCAAGACATCATCTTGCTACTCTTAACACAAAATTTCTGGAAATAAACCAGACATTTGGCTCTAAAGCCTAAGTCACAACATTTCTCATCAGAGTGATTAATCTTTACAAAAAGGCAGGAAAACAAGACAGAGCCGCCCACTCTGACATTTTCATTCTGTGAAGAAAAAAAAAATCCCAATCTAGTTCATGAACCAGAACCATCATTTATAAAAAGTATGCAGTCCACCAAGAGTAAATTTTGATCCTATGATTAACAAGGGCATTATCTTTCTGAATCTGTGCATTGAGAAAAGTGTACTGACATTAAAAAGTGGTTCTAGCATAGTATTACTTAGAAATCTGATAAACCTTTGCCCAAGAAGGTTACTTCATTTTTTTTCCTTTTTTGCTTACTTGAAAAAAACATAAACAAGAGATAACATTATTTTAAAAACCTACCCCAGTGACCTGTACAGGGCTTACTTTTGTCCAGCCTTGCTATCTTGTGACCAGAGTATTTTTCAGGTAAGTTGCTAACATCTTGCAGCTATGAGCTGAGCACGTGTGTGTGTGTGCCTAAGTACAACAAACGCATCGTTGTGGTCATGTGGGAAGGAAGGGAGGAAGGAGAGTGAGCATGAGCAGGAAGAGGTTTCTTTCTAGGCTCTCAGCAAACCTGCAGGGGGATGGGGGCTGTGTGTAAAGCCTGGGCCTACAAGGTGTCAATTTTGATTTTCCTACAGGTTTGGGCTTCAGATGTCACTTTGCTTCCCTTGGCCCTGGATAGTTCTGTGGAGAATAAACCAAGTCTAACCTCCAGAGAGCTCTCACTGGAGAAGAACGGACAGCGTGAACCACGGCGATGAAGCATGAGATGAAGGGAATCAGGCAAAGCCAGCCTGTGCCAGAGCCAGGAAAGGGAAGAAGCACGGGGAAGCAGCCCAGGCACACCAGGCAAACAGCATAGGCACTAAGGCGGGCAAATAGCCAGGCCGGTAAAACCATTGCCTGTGCAATTATGAGAATTCACTCACCTGGGTCATTTTTTCTATTCCCTGGAAGTTGTGCTTTTCAAAGTATTCCACGATATTCAGGAAGGTATGACGTTCTAGATAGCAGCAGTTACTCAGGACTATCAAAAGTCGCTGTTCCTGAAAGCAAATCAAATGCGGAGTAAATTACATTTACAGCAGCAAATGCGAAGTGCTATCACTTGTTAAGTTTACCTACACCCTTCTGATCTCTAACATCACTATTCAATGCTTGGCTTTTCTCAACTGCTTCTTTCCTATCACTAACAGAAACATAAACAAATTCCACATTCCCACGCATGGCTCATTTTTACATAAGAGTGAAACAGGCTGAGCTGCAGTTCCACAGCACAGCACTCGCCTAACACGTGCAAGACTCCAGCTCCAGCACCAGCAAACAAAAGGATCCAATGATGTTTCCTTTCATAGTTTATGTATGCAAGGAGACTACACAAGTGGCTATTTTAAATAACCAGTTATAGAAATTATAGAAATCAGAAAATAATCTGTAACTTTTTCTCAACTCGGAAGAGAAAGACCTTCCATATGTTGGATGGGTCTTTCCAAACATTAGGCCTTCCAGAATGTTCTGCACATAGAAGGAGCTTCCTTCCCACAGGGAGTGAGGCCCTGGAGGCCAGCAGCTTGCCACAGGAAGTGGCTGCGTAGCCAAGCAGAAGGTAGAGCCACTCTTGCTGCTACGTATGCCAGGCTTCTGTCTGCCTAATTTAAGAGCAATCATCCCCCAAAGCTGGCAAATACCATACCCTTTCATAGTTCAGAAGAACTATTTTTGTTAGTAGAATTCCAGGAAGGGCCCCTGTTGCTTCTGCTACTGCTGCTGCGGTCTGCCCAGGCCTGGGTTCTCTGCAGCTCCAACAGCATTCTCTGGAACAGCTGTGACTCATCCAGGTCCTCTACTCAGACCTTTGACTAAAAGTAAGGCTAAGCCACTTTCCAGGAAAAGTTCTTATCCGCACTTGGCTTATTCTTTCTGTATAGACTCAAAATAGCCCACAAAAAAAGTAGTTCAGTCTAGATAATGAGGAAACAAACAGGCTCCTGTTCTTTCAAGTATATCTGGACCAAAGAAGAACTAGAACTCCATTGCCAAGCAAATCCTACATCTTTCAGTACTTTTCCAATAATTTAGCTCAATTTTAACTGAGCTCATCATTGTATCAAATGTCCCAAGACCTGCATTTCTTTACCCAAGATGCTCCTATCTTTATTTATGGGACAGTACAGCCCAGTCTCTGCCCTCTTTAACAATTACAAATAAAAAGTCAAAGAATGATCAAAGTCCTGGAACTCTGAAGGAGTCAGAGAGGTTTGCCAGCAACCTGGAGACATGGAATACAAAGCGGGGCCTGCAGGGTAGTAGGAGGTGTGTGGCCCTGATCCACGCCGCGTGAGCAAAGTGCAGGAGACCCAGACAGACAGCGTGAGCCGATGCGCAAGTCGGCCCACACCTTGGGGCGCAAGGCTGCACATCCCTCTGGTCCCAAGCTGGTGTCAGCATTATTAGGCAGTCCTTTTTACAGCAACTAAACAAGACTTTCCATCAGCGATACTGTATTTCAAAGACTGACTGGTTTCTCAGAGAATTCCACCCTTCTTCCCGAGTTAACTCCCCGCACCTAGCAGCTGGCCACGAAGATTTAATTTCCTGTCTCCATGTGCAGGATTCCTTTCAAATCAGAAACCACCCGAGTGCTCTCAAGTCTCACTCTTAGTGGGTTGTTTCTGTCAAGTCTGAGCAATGGGATGAAACTGAATTGGTAGAACAAATGAACATCACAAATGTTAAGCCAGGATGATTAACTAAGAGCTTCTTACCACCTCAGGCAGATAAGTGCTGACTGAGCACAGCATTGCATATGAAGAAGCACAAGTGCTGTGTCATTTCTCTGCATCTGGGACATGCATGGTGACATGTCCTTAGTCACATGGAAGGGACTCCCTCCTGTATCTCTGCTTTTCCCTATCCACCACCCTCCTGGGTGACACAGAGCAAGAGATCTCAGTGGAGAGAAGACAGGCTAAATCTGGCCAGGAGTCTTCAGGGCCATCCAATCTGCACTCGCCAACAGGCGAAACCTTCTGGAAAGCCTAGCAGGACAGAAGCTGGATGCTGCAGCAAGCGGAGGCTGTGAGCATCTTCAGGACTGCAGAGAGCAGAGCCACAGCCTGTCCTCTGGGTGCTCCTCCTTCCCTGGGATGAGGAACAGTGCAGGCTCAGTGCAGGATCCGCATGGCAGAGGGCACAACAAAGGCCTGGCAGGTGTCAGAAGCCCGTCAGCCTGGCACATGGTGGCTTCTCCAAGTCCTGGAGAAGTAGCCCCTGCTGAGTCAGGCTGGTTCGGAAAGCCTCAGAACAGAAACAGTGCCCTGCAGCTCAAGGTTTTCTCTATCTCAAAGGTGGTTTCCCTCACCCTGGCCTCAGTCTTCCTCTCTGCATCCCAGGAAAAGGCTCCCACAAGCCCATCACTTGGCCTCCCTCTTTTTGCAGGACTCTGCTCTCCGAGGATGAGTAGTGGGAGATGCCGTGTCCGGCCCCACCTGTCACACAAGTCTTGCTCCTTTCAGAGGCTCGTTATTTCTCCCAGGAATGCCGCTCCACTGGGACTTCCTTTTCAGAGAGCATCAACGCCTCTGTGCCTAGCCGTCCTCAAACTCCCAGAACCCCATTCTTATTTCTAACGGCAGACCCCTTTCTCTCACTCTGCAAGTGGAGCAGCCCAGCCCCTCCACACGGGGCTGGAGCAGCTCACGTCCAGGCTCAGACCTTGGTACCATGCTTGCTGCCTACGCTGCTTCTGCAGAGGCGGCAGAAACCAGCTGCATGCACAGGGCCATGAGCCTGCCTCCCAGAACCTGGATCTCACACCCTGACACACAGGCCATCTCTGCAGGCAGTTCATCCAGCGGGCCACTGTCCCAGAAAAAAGGCCTTGGACTGACCACCCCAGTGTTCAGTGCTCCTTTCTGAGGAGTCCCAGCTGGCCCCATCTCAGGATGGTTGGGGTGCTGCCATAGCTGCTGGGGGACTTCAGCCATAGGTTCACCTGGACAAAACAGCTAGCGTTTCCTTAGTGTCCTCATATATAGAAGGCCTCTGTTCAGCACATTCACACAGCTGACTGACAGAGTGCGTGGTTCCTTCCTGGGATCCAGATAAACAGGTAAACTTGCCCAGCAGATGCTGCTGCTGGGCAGTCACCAGGCCCACAAGCCTGCCCCTGCCTGGGTGTTTACTCTTTCACAGACTCTGTTCATCTCAGTGAGTGGTAATGTTCTCTACCTAGTCTTACAAGTAAGTAAACCCAGAATAAGGTCTTTAATTACTTTTACTAAACTATTTTTCTTAATATACCAAGCCACTTATTATTTAGAAATTTATACTGATAAATATAGCAACTGTGAATAACAGGGCAGGAAACTTAGCTCATACTTCAGTTTTTAAAGATCTACACACACAATGCATCACGAGGAAGATATTTTCTTTAACGAAGCTGGAACTTGATACTCAACAGCTAAATTTATAAACATGATAATATATGTATGCATTCCTAAATACATGTGTATGTTAAAAACATGCATGCGCATACACAGTGAATATACACAATACATATAAACAAAGTATGTACATATAAAACTAAACATAAAATCTGCATCTAAAATACACACACGCACACCCCAAGTGCATGTGCGTGTCTGTGTGTGTATCTGACTGTTCTGACCCTGGCGCCTGTCTTCGCACACAGTGGGAGCTCACAGGAGTGCAGCGGAGAGAAGCAGATGGGTGGAGCCTGAGCCCCCATGATGTTAGAGCCCCCATGATCCTGGTACTTCTCCCAAAGTTCCACCTCTGAACTGACTCATTTAGGGAACATTCTTTCAGCACTGGACATCGGACCCCAGAGCTATGTCTTCTTTCTCCCTTTTTTCTTCTGTATGTATGGGAGGGACAAGAACTTCAAAGGATTACAGGCATGTGCCATCCATGCGATGTGGATAATTACAGGAACCCAAAAAGCTAGGCCTGGTGCCTACAGTCCCAGCGACTCGGGCAGCTGCCGCAGGGAGCTCCTGCAGCTGCTGAGACAGATGCCAGGGCACCGCCACGCTTTTGGCCTCCCTCTCTATACAGCAACTTCCAGTGTCAGGCAGCTGGGGGCACCCACGGGCCCGGAGACCCTGCAAGGACAGGCTAAGTGGAGCTCCAGTGTGAGAGCTCTCGAGGTGTGGCACTCAGCACTGTGCTTACTAAGATTCCACACACCCCCACAGAGCTGCCCAGAAGGTAGCCTCCACGCCGCATGCTGCTGCAGTGAGGCGGAACCGTCCCCAAGTGGTGACGAGGACAGGCGTCACTTTCTGCTTGAGATCTCACTTACAGAAGTCAAACAGAAGTCTTCCTGGCTGCTTCCAAACAGATCAGGAGAAGAGATGTCTATGGAGAGGCTGAATACAGAAGAGAAGAATTCAGTTGACGTATTAAGTTTTAAAATACAATGAGCTACATGTAATATTATTTTTAAAATATTCTGATAAAAATCAACAAGTTTTTATGTTTAATAAGTATACCTCAGGGGGCTGGGGAGATGGCTCAGTGGAATAAGCACTTCCCTGGCAAGCACAGGCCAGAGTTCAATCCCTAGTTCCAAAAAAAAAAGTATTGCTCAGAAAAGGCCATATGTACTATCTATGTACTATCAACTGGGCCATATATAAAATCTCCTTTTGGTCTCTTCAAAAGTGGCTTAATATAGTTTGAAAACAAATCACCCAAAGGGAAAATGTCAGGTCATTGACATATTTTTTGCCTATGAGAATTACACACTCTGATAATAATACATGGGTAAGTTAGGAAATGAGCTGATAACCCACAAGTGAGCAGAGCCAAACTGGTGGCAGAGTGAAGGCATCATAAGCCCACTAATATACAGACATAACACCTCAGCAAGACTTCTTTCCTTGAACTTGACTTTAAAATTCCTAAAGAACAATAAAAAATACCTCAAATGTAGAGGTAACGGAGGGCAACAATCCGAAGAGCACTGAAAGGGCACTGAGTGCTGCAACAGCACTGGCACGCACAGAACGGGGTTCACAAATTCACTGCAGCATACAACAGAGACCAGGGATAAAGGGACCAGAAGTTGCACCAAAGCAACAGGAGTCTAATTAATATCAAGGTTCTGATTAATAATCCAAATTCTGGTAGATTCACAACTCAAATATATACAATCAAATCAAAACCTAAAAGAATGAGAACCTTATTAGGTCTTGAGAGAGGTTATAGTTTTATATACAGAAAAGCAAAAATCAGTAGGAGGAGACAAATAAAAAATCCTTAAACTGTCCATTAAAGATTTAAGAGAAGGGCCAGGGATACAGCTCAGCTGCATAGCACCTTCCTGGCAAGCACAAGGTCATCAATTCAATCCTAATACTAAAAAAAAATAATAATAATTAAGAGTCATTTATTTTTGTACAACATTATTTCTGTCATATAGTTTTTTTTATTTTAGGGAAGGGTCTACAGGATGTTCAGGGTCTCACTACTAGATCAGACTCTGTTTATAGCCTCCCAAGAGCTGGGATTACAAGCGCATGCCACCACGCCTAGTCTCAGTTGCTGTCTCAGTGCGCCTCGAGAGTGGGGCCAGCATGGCAGTGCCAGGGATTGAACCCCTGCCCCTGGGCCTGCTTGTAGGAGCTTTAATCCGCTGAACTAATTGGCTAGCCCTTTACTGTGTCATACACATGTTAAGCAGAGTAAAGTTATACATGCCACACACATCATTCAGAAAAACTGGATTAAAAAGAAACCAACATTTTATGCTGCTGCCTTGCCAGAGCTGCAGAGCCCAGAGCCAGGATGTGGCCTGGCGCTCACATCACACCCTGACTGGACTGGGCTCCCCACAGGGCACCCTGCACCTCCTACTGCCAGAGCCACAAGGGCACACTTTCACTCTGTACTTCATTATTTGTACGGCCCCTTCTTCTGGAAAATAAGTAAATTAATTTTGTGCTCAGCACACTCAACACTTCCCTCATAAGGCTAAATTCAGAAGATTAACAAATTATGAAAATAACATAGGTCAAGTATACAAAACTATGACTTCAATACAAGCAAGCTAGCGCAACTGCTAGAAATCTTAAGATTTAAAATCAAATACAGGAGTACCTCCCCCACCCTGCCGCTGAGTAGGAATTTCTGCCGTGTTCCGGGAACCCCCACAACTAGTCCTAGCCCAGGTCCAGTGACTGTGTGGGAGAGCTTTTGGCTAACCTGCACCTGCGGGACATATTACTGGTCCCGGCCCAGGCACAGCATCGGTGAGACACTGTTCCATCTCCATGGGATGCACCCCACCACTCTGCAGCATCTCCCCCACCCCGCCCGCCGAGTAGGAATTTCTGCCGCATTCCGGGAACCCCCAAGCCCAGTCCTAGCCCAAGTCCGGTGAGTGTGTGGGAGAACTTCTTGCTACCCTGCACCTGCGGGATCTACTACTGGTCCCAGCCCAAGCCCAGTGTGGGTGAAACCCTATTCCACCCCCTTGGGACACCCCGCACCACTCCGCAGCACCTCCCCCACCCCGGCTGCCAAGTAGGAATTTCTGCCTCATTCCCAGGAAACCCCAGACCCAGTCCTAGCCCAGATCCCGTGAGTGTGTGGGAGAGCTGCATTTCCCCCCTACTACACCTTGTCCTGTCCAGGCTCAGCTCAGGCCTGGCATACATGCCTGGGGTGTAACCCTGCAGCTGCAATCCCTGCAGAGAGTGTAGAGGATAGAACCATGCAGCTAGTCCAGGAGCAGAAAATCTTGCCAGAGGGGCACAACAGGTTCACCCTCAAGGGCAGCAGCAGGAAGGAGCTGAGCACAGAAGCCAGACCAAAGCCAGGCACAGCTGGATAAATCCAAACTTTGTAGATCTGCACCTGAAGTTCAGTACGTGCTAAGGTTATAACTACAACGAAGATCTACAACAAAGGTCAGAAGACAGTGCTACACAAAATGACAAGAAGGAACAAAATGCAACCTCAGAACCCAAGCTCACCAGTAACAAGTACAGAGGACACTAACACAGAACAAATTG